ACCGACACAGGTAACCGAAAAAAGGCGAATGAGACAATCATCTTGAAGGAACTCGGCAAATTACCTCTGTAACTTAGGAAAAAAGAGGCTGATTCGGTTCCCACTATGTATCAGGGCACAAAAGAGTAGGGAACGACTGTTTACTTAAAACATAAGACCTTGCCAAAAACATAGAAGTTCACGTATAAGGTCTGACATCTGCCCGGTGCTCGCAATGAAGATTGACAGAAATTGAGGCTAGCTGGTAAACGGCAGCCGTAACTATGACGGTTCTAAGGTAACGTTGCCTTAATAACTATTCAGTATGATGGGAAATTGTAAAATGCATATATAAAACCATCAGGGTTAGACCCTTAGTGACTAAATGAATAGAATTTAGATAGATAATAAAGATAGAGTAATGTTTAAAGAAAAAGATTATATTATGAAATATAAACTAACTAGCCAATGATTATTAGGGTTTACAGACGGGGAAGGGTGTTTTCATATAGGGGTAACGGTAAATAAATCTATGAAATTAGGGTATCAAGTGATCCCAGAGTTTACCATAGTACAACATATAAAGGATGTAAGTTTATTATACGCGATAAGAGACTATTTAGGTTGTGGGATTGTACAATCAAATAGGGGTAAAAATGATAAAAACCCAAAATGAGGGGCCAGATGGTGCTACCGAGTTAGGGCAATAAAAGATTTAGATGAAAAAATAATACCGTTTTTTCTAGAGAACACCTTACTAACGCTCAAAAATGAGGATTTTAAATGTTTTAAAGAAGTAGTTTCAATGATAAAAAGAAAGGAACATCTAACATTAGAGGGTTTAGAAAATATCAAAAAAATAAAGGAGGGAATGAATAGAGGACGACCCTTATCATAAATTGTGAAGCCATCTAAATAAAGAGATAGTCCAAGAAGGAAACTTCAAGAGCGTAATACCTTGGCTACTAATCATAATTGGTAGTGGTAACTCATGTTATCTATAAAATTACTAAATACAAAGACTTTCTGCCACGAGCAAGGAAAATTTGTAGGGTAACCTCAGAGACTAAATGTAATTAGTTTAATTAACTAAGTAATAGTCCCTTATAATAAATATATGTTGCGCAGCGGCCCATTTGCGAGGGTATCCGAACGTCCACCAGCCGGGGATGCCGGGCCAACAATGAGGCCAACAGCGACGTGATGGCCCGAAGCCGAGCGAATTAACGGGGGACAGCATCAATATGGCGCTATATTGTCGCCAACATATATTTAGCTTTTAGGTGGTAGAGCCTAAGAGTAAAAGAAGGAATTATAGTCTCGCATGAATGGTGCAACGACTTCCCTAGCTGTCTCCAAGATGAACTCAGTGAAATTACAATGGAGGTGAAAATGCCTTCTACCCTTAGCTAGACGGGAAGACCCTTTGAAGCTTTACTGAAGATAAATAAAATAGGGAAGATAGATCTCAAGGGTTAAAATCCGGGTTTTTGAAGTTAACTAAGAATGTGTTTATTGGACAGTTTAACTGGGGCGGTAGCCTCCTAAAAGGTAACGGGGGCGTTCGAAGGTAGAGAGTATAGTTGAATGGGAATCAATTAAGAAGTATAATGGCTTGACTCTGCTTAACAGTGAGTCAAA